GTTGGGAGGTATAAATTTACCAGGCTTCAAGCTATACTACAAAGCTATAGTAACTAAAACAGCATGTTATTGGCATAAGAACAAAGACACAGAACAATGGAACAGGTGTGAGAACCCAGATATAAGACCATCTAATATTTGATAAAGCAGACAAAAACATACATTTGGAGAAAGAATGCTTATTCAATAAATGGTTCTGGGAAAATTGGATAGCCACATGTAGAAAACTGAAACAAGATCCACACCTCTCATCTCTCACAAAAAAAAAATCAACTCAGGGTGGATAACAAACCTAAGGCATGAAACTCTAAGAATTCTGGAATAAAATGTTGGAAAAAGTCTTATAGATATTGGACTATGGACAGAATTTATGAAGAAGTGTTCCAAAGCGATCACAGTAATAATAAAAATAAATAAATGGGACCTGATAAAATTAAATATCTTCTGTTCAGCTAAGGAATCTATCACGAGAGCAGACAATATACAGAATGGGAGAAAATATTCACATGCTACACATCCCATAAAGGGCTAATAAGTAGAATCTATATAAAACTCAGGAAAATCTGCAAGAAAAATTCAAACAACCCCATTAAAAAGTGGGCAAAGGACATGAACTGAAACTTTTAAAAGGAAGACAGATTCATTGCCAACAAACATATGAAAAATTGCTCAATATCTCTAACCATGCTCAATATCTCTAATCATGAGGGAAATGCAGTTCAAAACCACAATGAGATATCACTTAACTCCAGTGAGAATGGCCTTTATCAAAAAGTCTCAAAACAATAAATGTTTACATGGATGTGGAGAGATAGGAACACTCCTACACTGCTGGTGGGACTGCAAACTAGTGCAACCTCTGGGGAAAGCAATATGGAGATAACTTCAAAGAGATATAAGTAGATCTACCATTTGATCCAGCAATTCCATTACCGGACATCTACCCAAAGGAAAAAGAAAAAGACATTCTATAAAAAAGACATCGGCACTAGAATGTTTATAGCAGCACAATTATCAATTGCAGAGATGTGGAAACAACCCAAGTGCCCATCAACACATGAGTGGATTAATAAAATGTGATATGTGTAAGCCATGTAGTTCTAGTCCACCACAAAAATCAATGGTGATCTAGCACCTCTTGTATTATCCTGCATAAAGCCGGTACCCATTCTACTAAGTAAAATATCACAAGAATGGAAAAAGAAGCACCACATGTACTCACCATCAAATTGGTTTTAACTGATCAACATTTAAGTGCACATATAGTAGTAATATTCATGGTGTGTTGGGCAGATAGAGGGAGGAGGAGGGGATGGGTATATTCACACCTAATGGGTGTGGTGCGCACAGTCTGGGGGATGGACACACTTGAAGCTCTGACTTGGGTAGGACAAAGGCAGTACATGTAACCTAAACATTTGTACCCCCGTAATATCCTGAAAAAAAAGTGGATGCAACAGCTAATATTGGTGTGGAATTATGAAAACTCAGTTGCTTTACCCCAAGAGAGATAACTTTTGTGATCATGTACCTAAATCACAAGTATCCAAGTACATTTCTATCAATTGTAGAGGAAATGATATAACAGAGTAGGACTTTTAATCGATCCATCTTCCTTCTTGTTAACTACTCTAAAAAGGAAAAATAGTATGGTAAGAACTTCTTACCATACTATTTTTCCTTTTTATCACATTTTTCCTTTGTCATCACAAAGAGGTACTTAAAATTTTTTTAGAATCTCATTTATAGTAGATTGGCCTTCTTTTGTCCCTCATTAATATCTGGCCATATGACACTGACAGCAATTTAATCATGACCTCTGCTATATATGGGATCTCGCTTCGCATTGATGTGTCTAAAAGATGTGAAGGTCTGTCCTTAACCTAGAGAAGCTCATAAGCAAGTGTGAAAACTACCCACATAATCAGCTCACTGTAACAGTAAGTTATCACAGCTTTCATATTAGTGAAATTAACATGATACATGAGTAACAACTTGTGTGTTGCCTTCTATAAGGAACATAGATAAAGTTATTGATTTGGTTTTCCAGCAAAAGTTAAAATTATACAGTTACAGACTTTCACCTTTCTCTATTATAACAGGAAATTCCAAGAAAGTAGCCAACCATAAGTATAGTGCTTAAACCTGAAATTGAGTTTCATTTGCCTAAAATTTGCTTAGTTGGAGATCAGACTACAAGCTTGCTGCATTTAATGGCATGCCAAAAGCAACAGAGACGGTTGGCCTATTAAGAGAATAAACTGTGTAGGACAAATATCAAATTATTTTACTTTTAAGTTCCCCGTAAATAAAAGCCTAAAAACTAACGCCCTAGGTCATATCCTATTTGTATCATTATTTAGTTTCAGCACACCCGGTCTCGCGAGTACCCTCAGCAGAATAGGGTTTCTAAGAAAGGATAATGTACCGTGCACATGTTGCTTAGTGTGCGTGGGGCATGGTGGTGCTGCCTCAAGCTCTCAGATCTCAGCTTGCAACCGGAATGCTTTACCTCCCCAAATATATGTGAACCCTTCTATATGACATACTGTGGAAAGCCCTAAGCAGCTCTTGATGCAACCATGCGCCAATGCTACTGCAATATAAATTCCTAAGTTTTATTCACTTCTGTATCCCTAGCACCTTGAGCAGTACTTGGCACCAATGAATAAGCACATATAGAATGACTGAATGAATGATTACCAAATTATGAACCTCACAGTAAGATGTTACAACCATTTTTGTAGATTTCAAATTACCACAAATTATGTGTTCAATCAAATTGAACCAGAAAAACTGAAAATGAATTCACAGAAAGATATAAAACTTGCCTTTTCTACCAGGGCAAGGCTGCAGATAAATGAGTTGTCTCTCCACCAGACAGAATTTCAAGTGTTTAGCCAAGTATTGTGTACACTGCTATCAGTTCTCTACAATTTACAGAGTTTTAACTTAGCCCTTGTTGTGAAAAAGGCTTAGGGACCCCATGGTTTCCCAGAAGCATTTGCTAGATGCTTTATTTCCCACTGAATACACACAGCAATCCGCTCATCTACTCCAAAGTCCTCCATAACTTATCCCTACGCAAACTATGCTCATTGTCAGCCTGAATACTGAAGAAAGGCTTTTCCGCTATTTGTGCAACAGGAATCAGACTGCCCTGTAGTCTTATGGATAAAAGCGAAGATCATGAATATTAGCTTATATATGTTTTCTGGATAGTAGTAATAATAATTTTTAGTGAATAATCATTTAAAAATTACTTTTCAATTACCAGAAGAGAATAGTAGAAATTATACTGCTGTAAGCTTGACTTATATGTGAAGGTGATACCAGTGAGGCAAGATTTGGGACAGAATCAGTCTTAGAAGATGGAGGAGCAGAGCACAAACTCTCAGGATGGACCTGGAATCTTTATGGATGAGGTTTGGGTTCTCACCAAGCGACAGCATCTCTGCGTTGCTACTTAGAATTAAAGAAGCTCTTTAAATTTAATTGCTATTTAATTTTATCAGAAAGGTTTCTGTGGGTTTTGGTTGAGATTATTCTCAAATGTTACAGGATTTGCCTAAATTTAAACACATTGTACTAGTTTCAGGGAAATATTTCAGGCAGGTTATTTATTAATGAGATTTTTTTTTCTGTATTCTTTTGCATTTTCACTGGGTTCAAAGGCAGTATAAGAATATACAAAAAATAAATAATTCCCCAGTGCTTATTTTTTCTTTCTTTCTTTTTTTTTTTTTTTTGAGACAGAGTCTTGCTTTGTTGCCTAGGCTAGAGTGAGTGCCGTGGCGTCAGCCTAGCTCACAGCAACCTCAAACTCCTGGGCTCAAGCAATCCTCCTGCCTCAGCCTCCCAAGTAGCTGGGACTACAGGCATGAGCCACCATGCCCGGCTAATTTTTTCTATATATATTAGTTGGCCAATTAGTTTCTTTCTATTTATAGTAGAGACGGAGTCTCACTCTTGCTCAGGCTGGTTTCGAACTCCCGACCTCGAGCTATCCGCCCGCCTCGGCCTCCCAGAGAGCTAGGATTACAGGCGTGAGCCACTGCGCCCGGCCTTTTTTCTTTCTTTATAGGCAAGAAAGAAACCCACTCTGCTCTGTGCACATTAGCGGGACCTTGTGTGGCTGAACTGTGTTCTTAATTTGCCCTCTTCTTCATGCAAAGTTAGGGTTGCCTGTCTTTATAAGCTTTTAGATAAAATGTCTTGCTTAAAGAGTGGATTTTTCTGTCTTTAGGTTGTTAGACCAGCTTCCAAGAGCAAATGTTGTTCTCCTAAAATCTCTATTTGCATTACTGTATAACATCGAGCAACATTCCTAATCCAATCAGATGGATTCATTTCAATTAGCAATATGTATCGTTCCAAGCATTCTTTGGCCTCCTACTTCCTGCAGCCCAGAAATAGAAAATGAATTAATAAGAAAGGTAATGAAGTTTTTTTTATTGTATGTTCTTAAGGACTGAATCACAATTTTGAAAATGAGATTTGAGGTATTGTGATAGACAATTTCTTAAATAACTTAAATACACTTTCTTATAAACTTGACTTTACTAATTATGGGGTGTTTATTCTATCCTGGTAGACTATAGGATAGTGATTTTTCAAGCAGAAAAGTGATAACAATGGATTTACTTATCTTTTCACTTTTCACTATGACTAACTTAAACTACACAGTGATAAGAAAGCAGCTGATATGACTGTAAATGAGGTAAAACAAACAGACTAAAAGGATGCTGAGTTAGGCAAGCCTAGGTCCAATTCACAGACCCGCCACTTGCCAGATGTGTAATCTTGGACCAGTTCAGCACACTGACCCGCAGTGTCCTCATCTAATAATATGGTAATGGTAATAATACAGTAGTTACTTAAAAATTACACTCCTATAGTATGTGGTGGTCAATAATGTGTTTGGAATTATCATATATATTCAGATATGAAATGTGATGTTATATGAGAACTAGCACCTCATTTTTGTCTATTTTTTATAGGTTACCCTGCTCTTGCAATTTATGCTTGAAAATTGCCATAGGGTATTTGGAGAAGACATCGCTTTCCTTTATGGAGAATTTTCAGGGACATGTGGCACTAGAGGAAATGCCTCAGGTATTGTCCGTAATTGGATTTTTGTGTGTGTGAAAAATAGACATATGCCTTCAAGATGCTGAGGCGGTGGTTTTCTTGGAGGCCATGGCAGCTGAGGTGAAGGGAGCCTCTGACCTGGATCAGTAGGGCCTAAGGCTTCTGATCCTTTTTAGATGTCCTTATAAGAGGTGAGGGCATGTTAATATTTTGGTAGGGTTAAGAAATGTATATGATGAGGTCACAACTTTCAAGAACTTATTACTAGCAGCATGCTATGGTATGATGATTTCAACATTTAAAAAAAAAAACTTTATGAGTAAACCTAATATGTATAGTAGAATGTGCTATGGTTGAAACTGGAATAGGAAGCCCAGAGGTAGTAGAGGCAGACCTGGTTTCTGTCCATCCCCTCCTTCTACTTACTGGTTCCTGAGACACTTTTCAGAATTCTAATGTGCTATGAGATGGTATGAAAACAACTCACATCATTTGTTGTTAGGGAGACATTGAATTCAAAGACAAAATCCTTCCAGAATATGAATTCCTGTGCCACAGTTACTAGTTGTGTTATCTTTGGCCAATTATTCTATGCCAGTGAACATCAGTATCTCCATTTATAAAATGTGGATACAAACGTCTTTATGATTACTGTAAGTAATAAGATAATAGGTTCTAAAGAACTTTGTAAATGAAACATTGATAAGGTTACTAAACGGACCCTCAAGATCAGAGTTAATTATGCATCATAACCAGTGACCCATGTTAGAAGGCTGAGTCTTATTCAGAACCGGGGTATATCTGGCATTGCTTCCTTCATATTTTTCACCATTTCTTGGTCTTATGACATGGTCATTGCTTTGAGAAAATCTTACTTCCGGAAAGCCCATTCATCAGAACCTGAGATAAATCTAATATAACCCAACAGGGGTTCCTTCTTTTATTCTGTACTAACACTTGGCAAGATGGTAAAAGATACTTGCTTTCTTGAGAGTATATTCAAGAAAGGAATTTGAATACTCTACATGAAAAGAGAATTAAACTGAGCGCCATGGTTTGTTTCTAAGGCAGGATGTGCCGTATCTGTGCTAAGTAAAAGTGTTAATCATGGTTTGATTTTTTGACAGATATTTCTCACTTCCATCTGAGTGACTCACCCTCATATGAGAGCTTGGAAAATGAGCTAAATGAGGATATTTATGCCCCATTCAGTGATGTGGCAAAGAAACTTGGCAAGGGAAAGATGCACAGAATCTGTGTGAACGGACATTGATGGCCTTGACCCGTCTGAGGGGGATACCTTCTCTGAATGGCTTCCTCTTGGACCATTTTAAAGAAGAAGATGCTGAAACGGACCAGCCTCTTGAAGCCGAGACAGTGGACATCATTGTGTGCACAAGTGTCCTGCCGCGGCCCTGCCTTGCACACGCAGCCACCACCTGTCCACAGCTGCAGCAAAACTGTGAGGCAAAACTGGGACTGCTTAAAGCTCAGCACCCACTATGTGGAGCCATAGCTTTCCTGTCCCAGGGAGTTTTATCAGAAAAAGCTATGAAGTCCATCTGGGATGTTGTTCTCTGTCAAAAAGATGAGGCTATCTGAAGCAGAATCAACCCCATCGTGCAGGGGTGTAAGACATGTTTGAAACAGAGTTTATTCACAAGCACTGATACTAGCAAGAAAAATTCCACCAATCGAAACCTTAAGAAGAACAGCTTATCTGATAAGGAAGAAAATTGTATGAAACTTTTCTGTAAGTCCAAGCCATTAGCCTTTTCTGTGTCCTCACGGAATCATTCCAAAAACCAGTTGCTTGATGTGGGTACATCTGGGTACTCCCTCCCGCACACAGCACACGCCCTCGAGAGTAAAAGGAAACACAAGCGAGCGCAGCTCAGAGAACAACACAAGTGACTGGGGAGGCACACTGTCCTTTCCCTGAGGTCCTTGTTTAAAGAAGCAGTACAAAAGTATCCCAGAGTCTGTTTTCTTCCATAGAGGAACAAAATCTTGTTAATCAGAGTTCGGTCATGGGGATTGAGGTTGACAAGAATAGTGCCACAAACCAAAACACTGAGAAGACTTTGCCCTAAAGATCAAACCTTTGCCAAAGACTAGCTAATCCAGCGTACCCTCCCCAGGCACTTCCCATCGGGCACACCAGTGAGCTTCCAGGACAGTGCTTTTCTCAGATTTCTGAACACTCTGTGTTTACAACCACTGAAACTTCCTCTCCAATAGATTGCAATTTTCAGGCTCAAATAAAACAGAAAAAGCTTTCTTCTTACTATAGCAGCTTTGACTTTGTTTCTGGAATTCCTGGTCCCTCATCAGGGCAGGACAGCAGCCCCTGGCTTATATAAAAAAGACACCAAAGAGAGGCATTCACAAACACACTCTGTAACTTTTCATCCCACCATGTGGCTGGGAAATGGTGTGGCCAGTTTGGCAAACTAGTCCCTCAGAAAGAAAGCAAAGATAGGCAGACCATAGGAAAAGAAAATAGGTTCTCGAGAAGGACACTAGAGCCACCTCTAAGTGCCTCTGTTGTTCTAGAAGACAACTGACTGCAAGAGAAACAGAATGGTGTTCCTTCAAGTTCAGTTAGAGACTGGGAGCTGTGTAGTCAGCCCAGTGGTGTAGCTCTCCTCCCTGCCAGCACTCAGCTAGACACTGTAGCTTCAATTCAGCCTGGTAGAAAGCAAACTCAAGCTGTGTATGAAATCACAAAAGGAAGTAATGACCCTAGCCAAACTTTCCCATTTTCTGGAGTGGTATTTAATTGCAAAATTATACAGCAGGCTTGGTTGAAGAGCAGACATGGCCCATGTACCAAAACCCACCTCATTGTACATAAAGTCATGAAGAAAGATTCTATAAGCTTCTGGCCACTCAGCTAGAGTAGAGGTATGCAAGATTCTTTCTCATCATGTTTTCCTTCATTTGGTTTTTAGGCTTCAGGCCCCAAAATGCCAGCTAGGGCCTTGTCTCTACTCCTGGCTCTACTCTATTTCAATCCTTTGGGATGCAGAGCTTAAGGCAGTTCTTCAGAAGCTATTTCCAGGGTCAAAATCTCTGCTTTGGTTTTGACTCTAGGTTTTCCAAAAATGTAGGATATTTCCAGGAATGTGGGGTAGAAAGCATTTTAGAACTTTGTAATTTTATAACTGTTGATGTGACTTAAGTAGCATTGTTGAAGCATAAGAACTATAAAGAAAGATAAAGGTAAAAGAAAACCAAGATGTTGAATTCATGTTTGCTGGCCATTAGTCTGTCTTCTTTTGAAAAGATTCTGTTCATATCCTTTTGTCATTTATTGATGGAGTTGTTTGATTATTTCTTGCTGATTTTCTTAAATTCTATATAGATTCTTGTTATCACCTCTCTATCAGATGTGTAGAAAGAAAATATTTTCTTCCATTTTGTAGGTTGTCTATTTGCTCTTGTGATAGTTTCCTTGGCTGTGTAGAAGCTTTTTAATTTGAACAGGTCCCATTTGTTTACTTCTGTTGCTGCTGTGATTGCTTTGGGAGTCTTCCTCATAAATTCTTTACCTAGGCCGATGTCTAAAAGAGTCTTCCCCACATTTTCTTGCAGAATTCTTAAGGTTTCACACCCTAGGTTTAAGTCTGTTATCCATTTTGCATTGATTTCTGTGAGAAGTGAGATGTGGGGATCCAGTTTCAATCTTCTATATGTGAATATCCAGTTTTTCCAGCACTACCTATTGAGTAGAGATTCTTTTCCCCAATGTACACTTTTGTCAGCTTTGTCGAAGATTAGATGACAATTAGAGGATGGTTTTATATCTGGGATCTCTGTCCTATTCCAAAGGTCTATATCTCTGTTCTTGTACCTATACCATGCTGTTTTGGTTACTACAGACTCGTAATAAAGTTTGAAGTCTGGAAGACTGATGCCTCCCAATTTTTTCTTTTCGCTTAAGATTGCTTTGGCTATATGAGGTCTCCTCTGGTTCTAGATGAAGCGTAGAATTATTTTTTCCAAATATGCAAAGAATGATGGACAGAATTTTGATGCAAAGAATTTTGATAGAGATTGCATTGATTCTGTAGATCACTTTAGGTAGAATGGACATTTTAACGATATCAATTCTACCAATCCATGAGCATGGTAGAGATTTTCATCTGTATACATCTTCTGCAATTTATTTTCTCAGTGCTTTGTAGTTCTCCCTATATATATATATCTCACCTCCTTTATTAAATATATTCTTAAATACACACACACATATATATATATATATATATATATATTTCGATGCTATTGTGTCTTTGATTTGATTTTTGGCTTGACTGTTACTGGCATATAGGAATGCCACTGATTTGTGTGCATTAATTTTGTATCCTGAGACTTTACTGAGTTCGGGAGTAAACCCACAACTAATGGAAGCAGAGTGCACTGTATGAAGGAAGGACACACTTGTAGCTCTGGTGTGGGCGAGGCAAACGTATTACATGTAACCAGAATGTTTGCACCCCCATGATATCCTGAATTGAAAAATAAAAAAAATTACATTTGTCTGCATTTGTGAATCAAATAAATATGAACTGTAAAAAAAAAAAAGATGTTGAATTCATTCCTTCTCAGCTTTTAAAGTAAAAGAAATTAGTGAACAAGGGAAGGAATATCTGTCACATGATGATTATGTAAAGGAAAGGCATGTACAGCAGTCTCCGCAACTTTTTGTTTTAGTTGTAAGGCAAATTTTTTTTATTATGGTAAACTTCTGTAACTATTTTCAAAAGTTGAATAAAAGTTTATTTTTAAAAACTTTGCCTTCCTGTGGAAACAGCCCAAGTGCCCATCAATCCAAGAATGGATTAATAAAATGTGGTATATGTATACCATGGAGTACTATTCAGCTCTAAGAAACAATGGTGATATAGCACATCTTATATTTTCCTGGTTAGAGCTGGAACCCATACTACTAAGTGAAGTATCCCAAGAATGGAAAAACAAGCACCAGATATATTCTCCAGCAAACTGGTATTAACTGAGTAGCACCTAAGTGGACACATAGGT